TACAAATTAAAAAATAAATCCCATAAGAAAATAAAATTTTAAAAATTGAGAAAGCAAGCATGAGAAACTATATAAAAAATATAAACTGGTTAGCTGTCTATTTCCAACTTTGCTAATAAATGCATTTTATACCAATACTTCAGCATTTTTAAGAAGCTGTCTTCATAGAGTAACGGGTTCCCAGGTGTAGACAGCACAGCATATTCGATCATCTGAGTTAACAAGCAAAGCAAGGTGTAAATTATGTAAGGGAAACGTTAAACCCAGTCTTCACTGGTGATGTTGGAGATTGCTACATTACTGCAAGTGCATGGAGAGAAAGAGAGGGGGTAAAAAATATACCATATAGATAGTTAACATGGGAGTTTTAACTGAAAAAGTCTACCACATACCATTTTTCTTTTATTGAAAAGTCTTGCATGAGAAATTTGAAGGAAGAGCTGTATGTCCTTGGAGCAGTGCTTGAATATATATAGGTGGGTGTATATGTGCACATACATGTGTATCTGTATATATCATGTATTTGCCCTGAAGAAGCCAATGACATTGAGAGTTAATGATCTCTGCAAACCTTCTTGTATTAGAAATATTTACTGAAAAACTAGTTTTTAGACAAAATGGAAGTTTTTGTCCTGAACCAACAAAAATAAGACACACAAAACTTACCAAGTTAGTTGCATCCACTTCTACTAACTTGTTGCATATGAACAGAAGTGCTAGTGAACATTGACAACCATGCTACAGTCTAAAACTTGACTGTTACTGCAGAGTGACTGAATGCGTTTTCAAGTGCATGTTGAGTCTTTTGTTTTGAAAGAAGAGAAAAATGTAAATATCCCAATTGTAATAAGTGTGGTGTGCTCTCAGCTGCCATGGGGTACAGCACCTTGCAGGATCCAGCCTTTCCCTGGCAGCGTCCTGGGAAGTTTTGCACTGGTTGCATTATTTACCCAGTTTCTGTATTGTGGCACAAGAGGTGGTGAACACATGAACTGATTATAATTACCCTTGTGACTGCCTAAATTTAGAGCTATGTGGAAATTCTAAGTTTGAAGCTACAAGGAAGTTTTTAACAATTGGCTTTACCCCTTTTGTTCCAAGGGGTACATTAAACTGTTTTGGGTTTTGTTTTTTTTTCCTAATAGGATTAGATTATTGTACTAGTTCCACCTCCTGCAGTCCTGTAGTGAGTTTTCAGTACTCTTTTCCACTCATCACACCCAAAATCAATACTTGATGTGCAAGATGGGATTCCTGGTGATAATCATTATAACTTAACTTTGTTTAATATGCTACTTAACACCCTTTAACTCATGTTCCAAGGGTTGAAGTGTTTTAGGTGTGTCATGAGAATCCAAGGTGGTGGTATTTTTGCTTGAACTATAGTATACTTTTTTGAAGCATACTGTGTTCTGTTGGCAAAGCATATAGACAAGGAACTCCTTTGTGAAAGGTGTGGCATTAAATTATATGATAGTGTTGAACACTTTCATTAATTTACCTGCCCTTGGGAATGAAAGGAAGGTGAATTGTCCTGTTCAGTCATACCCCCTGCACAAGTTGCTGCTGCTCCCAGCCCCAGCCAAAGCTCTAGATAGTATCATTTTGAAATGCACTTTTACCACTGAACCATCATGTGATTAAAATGAAGCTCTGTAGCTTCTTGTTACTTGACTCGAATTTTGAAACAGAGGAATGTCTAATTCCATTTTTCATTACCTTTGCCATTGTAAGAAAAAGTCTCATTAAACCAGTTTTAAAATTGTTTCTAGTGTAACATTAATTGTGGCACATTATAAATCCTTATTGCTGCTGGGAACTGTAATTCCATTCTGCTGCAAGGATGCCTGGTTTCTTAGTTCCTCAGCTTAGAAAATATAATTTACAAACAAAATGGCAGCAAAGTGCCACACAAAACGCATAATGTTGTTACTTTGTTAAATACACAAGGATTTGGTGCCTCACTGCCTCAAGGCTTGGAACCCTTTTGTATTTTGGAAATGCAGTGAGTTTATTGTTTGATGGGGTTCTGTGATAACATCTGATGTGATCTGGCAACAGAAAGTTTTGGAAAACATTATGAAAAGTCTTGCCTTCACGTAACTTTTAAGCTACTACAGATTGAATGTATTTCCAAATATGGCTGGCCAATATATTGCAAATTTAGTGACATGCAATTAGACTGCTTACTGATATAATTTGTTGCTGATCCACTCAGTACCAGTATTTATACCTTCACAATTTAAAAAACAACAAAAAGACACTCTTATGCAGACTTAGTTTGCTGCTTTTGCCCCAGGTTTTATTCTTTCCAAGAGCATGCAAAGGATCCTCGTGCTATTACTGTTACCTTTCATGGGTTATTTTTTTTTGTTTAATTTAGAGTTGTTCAGTTCTCTTGCTTTTGAGTAGATTGTGTGGTAATGTCTACTTTCTCCTAAACACTGCTGTCAAGATGTGGTTGAGCTTGTTGAAGGAAAATTCTGGGATTTCCAAGGGCATTATATACTCAGAAATTTAATATTCTGTAATGTGTGACACTGGAACAATTAAACTGACTAAAAAATGTCTATGTGTATATGTTAATCAGAAATAAGTTAACTTTTGGGTTTGTGTGCTGTGCTTTACATTAACTAGTGTAGAGCTCAGGATGCACCAGCTTCTGGAGTATGTACCCACCTTTGATACATTAGTAGTCTGGGGTGTGTTGACATCCCCAGTCGCAGTGCATATTTTCTGGTGCTTAATATTCTCTTGACTGTTCTACTAAATACAAACTTAATTTGTCTTCAGTATTTGGTCTTTACATTTGCTTTTTATTTGACTCAGACCATCTTTAAAAGCTGCTTGTAAAAGGAAATATGTGATATTGTAGCTTTAATTCAGAAGTTTTGTTACAAACTTGAGCTGTGTTAGATAACTGTATAGCGACAATTTATCAGACACCCTCTGATCCCACATCATTCAGCACCTGGCAATAAAATCAGTAAACTGTGGTGTGAAAATACACTTCAGCTAGAGAGTACATCAAAAGAAAGAGAGCTTAATCACAGATCTAGTCACAGGACTTCAAGCCATTACATTAAAGAACTTTTCTGCCAACATCTGCTGTAGCTGGTGAGCAATGGTGAACAGGGCACCAACTGTGTTATTTCATCAGTGAAATAATGGCATGTGTCAAAGCTCTTTTTCAGTACAGGGAGGCAGAGGACGGATACATTCAGGCTGTTACCTGGCATGTTAAATAACCTCAGGGAGCAAGGTTGCAGGGAAAGGTATATCCCAGAAGCTTGGAGTGTGGTTTTGTTTTATTTTGCTTGATACAGATTATTATTGACTAGTTTACAAGTGTTTATGTGTGGTTTTCTATTACCTGGGTTATTTTTCACACCTACCCAGCTTCCCAGATAATTAGAAGCTGACTGTAACTTATCTTGGAGAGAAAGGCAGATTGGACATCTTCCTGAAGTCCTATACAGCTTCATCTTGTATAGTTGAGGACTGAAAGAATACATATTTAGGAGGATGCAGAGGATTAGCAGTCTAGTATCTTCAAAGCACTGACTCAAGAAATAGACCTTTTATTAAAACAGTACATGAACAAATAATTACGGAAAAAAATTACTTTAACCCTTAGAACACTGTGTGGATTATTGGTAGTGTTTCTGTAACTGCTTCGGTTGTTTACACATAGGCATCTGATGTCTCTTAAGTTTAACTGCAGTATCAAAAGCACTTGCTCAAGGCTGTTGGATATGACTTGAGACCTGTAGGAGACTTGTGCACTTTCAGAGCCACAGTGGAAGACTAGGCAGGATATTTCAAAGAAGAACTGGATGGTGCTGTGGGGTACTGAATTGGGCCCTTTGTGCATGTACTTTCTATCTCTGCTTGACACCTGTGAATAAGGAGATGATGAGCAATGAGAATAACTACATCAAAACAAAAACTATGGTTTTAAGCCATTTGTTATAGAGATCATTAAACTTGAAAAAAGGCAAGCTTGTAGAGCTGTGTGGAAGCCAACACCTACTTGGTCTGAGCAATGGCAGTCCCATTATTTCAGACCAGACAAATACTGAAATCAGTCAGTCATTTCCATTGTAGGAAAAACCTTCCCTGTACACACTTCCAATGTCTTTTTTCCTCATGCTGGTTTTGCAGAGCACTGTCCAAGCATCCCTATTATTGGCTAATCTTTGTGACAGAAGGCATTTCTTAATTTGGCTATTTAAAAATATCTGAGTCTGAATCTCACTAAAGTGAAACTGCTTTTCATTTTCTTTGTGCTCCAGAACTCACCAAAGTTCAGTGGCCATTGTTTTTAATGAAGCTTATGCCAGGCTCTCTACATTACTTCCATGGAAGATGAATCACCCATAGTTAAACTAGAAATAGGCACAAGATAGTGAATTCTTGGTACTTTTCAGTTGAAAAGTTGGTTATATGTGGTTTTAATGGAATAAAGTCAGCAGAGGATTGTTGCCTTCTTGTAGAATATTTGTATACTAAAGTACTGATTCCAAGAATTTTTTACCAGCCCCATATTGTCAGATTTAAAGCTTCCTTGCAGACCTCAGTAGGTAGTGCTGCTGCTGCTTCACATTGCTCTAGAAAAACTCCTGTTGGATACCCGTGGTCTCACCTTTCAGGAACCACTGCTTGAGGAGTGGTTTTGAATGCACCTCAGCAAAGATTTTTTTGTCTTGGGTGATTAAATATTATGCCTTTATTTGTTGAAAATGAGTAAAAATGTTTGGGGTTTGGGGTTTTTTGGGGTTTTTTGTTTGGTTTGGGTTTTGGTTTGTTGGGTTGTTTGTTGTTTTGTTTTTTCCTTCTTGGAGAACAAAAGGCAATTAACTCGGTGCTTTTGTCAAGGGGAACGTACCACAAAGTGCTGAATATCTATATGGACATTTTGATTTCATGGAATGCTAGGATTATATTCAGGAATGACTGTGAATTGTATTAAGGTGCACTTACTTTATTTTTACTGATAGTTGTTACAGTCTATCTTAAATTTATAGCTTTTATTACTTAGAGGATACTGGTACATAACAGGATCCAGATAAGTTTTCTATAAAGTTTCCTACCATCCTCTTTGCTTGAATGGTAACTTATAACTTTCTTGTGGCCCTTTTTTTTTTTTTCTTGTTTGCCAGTACTTCATGACTAGATTGACTTGGGCAGATCTGCAAAAACTAAAACTTCAAACTTCATATCAGCTGTGTGTTAAGGACAGAGCATTGTGTCTCTTCAGACTAACATGCAGTGTTCTACAAAGATGCTAATGACTGAGATTTTTCCTGAGCCTGTCTTAGGTCAAGCAATGAATAATTATCTGAAGCTAGAAATCTGATGGAGAACAACTTCTAAAATGCATATTGTACTTTTTGGCATAGCCTTAGTGGAAAAAGGGGTGGGGTTTTTTCTTCTCTCAGTATTCCTTAGTTTCTGGTTATATCAAAAATTTAGGTGAGTGTGTCTTTAGATGTCTGCTTTTTTAGTGGAAAATGCTTGTACATTACCACTTACATGTGCAGTCCATATCATCAAAATTACTACTGAAGTGAGAACTAAATTTGAATTGAAAGCCTCTTGTAACCTGGGCTCAAATAACATGCATGTTGCTGTAGCAGGAGGACCATGACATCATGGAAGCTGACCTGGACAAAGACGAGGTTTTGCAACCTCAACTGGGAGAGCTTGCAGGAGAGAAGCTGCTAACAACTGAGTACTTGGGAGTGAGTACCACTTGTTAGGATCTTGAAATAAATTATTTTACTGGATAAAGTGTTTAATTTCAGTAATTTCATCACTTTCTAAAATCATTTCTTCAATCTGTTGCTTAAAGAGCTGGGTTCTACCTGCATAGCAGTCCAGATCTTTTCACAGCTGCTCTTTAGAAGTAGAATAAGTTTGAGAGAGGTAGCTACCCTTTCCCAGGAGGTGGTAAGTCTGTGGCTTAATAATAAGCTAAAGGCAGCTTTAGGGTTCTAGTGCTACATCAGTGATGCTGTGAGCACACAAAGCAAAGTACTGAGCAAGTTAATAGTGTGGAACACTCTGCTGGTCTAAAATGATTTTGAAAAAAAGTTGGGGAAAAAAAGAAGTTGAAAAGTTAACTGCTTCTGGAGGCATTATGCCAGATCAAGTATTATATGTCTTACCTCAAGCAGCAAAAAGCCATTAAGTAAAAAAATATGACGTTTGCATGAATGCCATTTAGTGTGCTGTGTCTAACTTGAGATGTTCAGAGGGCTGGAGCACTCTCCTATGAAGACAGGCTGAGAGAACTGAGATTGTTCAGCCTGGAGAAGAGAAGGCTTTGGGGAGACCTTAGGGCAGCTTCCAGTGCTTAAAAGGGGCTGACAAGAAGTCTGGAGAGGGACTTTAAACAAAGGCATGTGGGGATAGGACAAGGGGAATGGCTTTAAACTGAAAGAGGGTTCATTTAGCTTAGGTATTAGGAAGAAATTCTTTCCCGTGGGGGTGGTGAGACACTAGAAAACAAGTTGCCCTGAGAAGTTGTGGATGTCCCATATCTGTCAGTCTTCAAGGCCAGATTGGATGGGGTTTTGAGCAACCTGGTCTAGTGGAAAGTGTCCCTGCCTGTGGTGGAGAGGGGTGGAACTAGATGATCTTTAAGGTCCCTTCCAACCAAAACCGTTCTATGATGCTGTGATAAATGTGACTGTATGTCTTCTGGACCCCAGAATCCACAGGTCTACCAATGCTGATGATGGAAATGTGACCCGAGATGAGATGTCATGGAAAAGCCTACAGTGATTCCAGGCAACACTTCATCTAGTGACATTAAAATGCAACTTGGTTTCTGATGCAATGTTTCTATAGAATTTTCTCTAAGGCTCCAGTTATCTGTTTTTCAACTGCATTCTCTTCTTGGGCCCCGCTCCCCTTCCCATTTCTTTATTTTCTGTGTATCAGATAATGACTCATACTCCAAAAACCAAGAAGAAGCTGTTTCCTGGTGTCCATCAAAGTATAGATGAGCCTCTCCAGAGACCTGTGACTCCCAGTTACCACAGAACTGTGTACCCACTGTAAGTGCAAACAAATGAGACCAAGTTGGATTTTTTAAGCTATTTAAAAAAAAAAACAACAAACCCAACAACAAAAAAATGCCTGATAAATACACTTTCCATACCTAGAAGTGCATTGCCATTGTCATTCCCTAAAGATAATTTCAAAAAAAGAAAGGCAGGAATACTGTAAGCAGGGAAAGGTCCATTGGCAGAGGTCACATACTTGGAATAGTTGAGTAAACTATTTTTTTATGTTTACTGATCAGTTTGATTTAAATTTGCATTGTATCCTGTGAGTTCACAGTCCTCTCCTGATAATATATTCTACTGGTAAATTGCATAGAGTGTCTAAACTGCTGTGTTCTTCCACTTTATAAGCAAGAAAGTATGTATCTAGGGGGAGAGTTCCTAGCCGCACGTAAGAGGACAGATTAAAAAGAAAATGGGAAAGCAAAAATCATGTTATGTTGGATTTTCTGCTTTGGAAGAAATATATTTTCCAGCAAGAGGGACTATGACACCTTGCTCTTGGTGTGATAGGGGTCAGAGATAGAAGGTTGGATTGTAAGTGGAATAGAGAAATCTTACAGTATAGAGCCCTTGAATATGCTCTGCTTTCTGTTAGAACAAATATATCTTAATTTTTGAAATAGTACTCCTTTTCACTGTCCTGACTGAGGAAATAAAATAACAATGAGATCTCAAATTTAAATGATTTATTTTTTACTTTCAGATGCATACTGTTTTGGATTTTATCAAATCCAGGTTGCTACCACACAGGCAGCAGTTTATCATGAGGATTTAATGTTTTCATTTCTGCAGACACTTAAGCTGAGAGACTACAAGCCTCTCTAACAAAGCATAGATAATAGTACTTAAAAGTCATGGTATTGGTATAGCCAAATACATTAAAATGAATGGGTAACCTGAAATACAACAGTGTAATGAAGTTAGGATGTAGAGGCATTTCTTAGAAGAATGTATTAGTCCTGAAGACTGTCCCATGTCACCCCCTCTGCCACTCCTTGCTTTCATATTCATATTTTCTACTTCTTAAAATACATTCTTCCTCATTTTAGTGTGTAAGATATCTCTCTCTCTTTCTTTCTTTCTTTCAGAATTTTTTTTCTTAGCCAAAGAGCATTTGGCTATCCAGGGCACATTTGGAGTTTTTACTTTGTGTCCTTCCTCACAGTGGTCAACTTTTGCACTATTAAAATGTCCACAGCTTTTGCAAGCCTCTCCCTATATATTAAATGTGTGTCTGTGTGTAAGAAAACAGCAACTAATTAATATAAGCTTATATTAATAGCATAGTTATTATCTAATCACTGATAGTCCTCCAATCCTCCAAAAGAACTGCAGACCTTTTAAAAAAAATAAAAATTGGCTAATACATGACTAAATATACAGTGCCACTTTACTTCAGGGTCAGTGTTACCAAGTTCAAGGTCCCACTTTACCTGCCAGTATTTTGCCCATGGTGGGTTAGGAGACCTGGACCGATTCTGTGGAATTGGCTGTTAGGGTAGCCTTAGGACTATTTAGAAAGTATTTTTCAGGAACAAATCTTAGTTACTATCAGAGTGCCTAAGCATTACATTCAATTTATAAGTGGGGAGAAAAACAAGCTTGTGAAAATGAAGTGACTCTCCTGTAGGAAGTCAAAAAACCGATAGCAAATCTGTGGGAGTGGCTTTTATTTCCTTGTGCCATGTAGCACACTGCAATTTATGCATCAGGAATAATCTCTAGAAGTGATTGTATGCATCTCCTTACCACCACCATCTGCCCAGGCAGTATGTTTACTTAACAGTATCCTGGGATACCTAGTGATGCTAGTTCCATATTTTGTCAAAACTTGAATCTCCTTACGAACACTGTGCAGTTCATGCCTCTGCAAGATGGTTTCAGGTCACTGCTGGACTGCCATGGTTTAACTCCAGCCAGCAACTAAGTATCACACAGCCATTCACTCATTCCCCACAGCTCCTATACTGAGCATGAGGTTCTATGGTATGGAATAGCCCTGTGGCTAGTTCAGGTCAGGAGTCCTGTCTTGGCTCCCTCCCAGCTTCTGTGTCCCTCCTCACTGGCAGAGCATGGGAAACTGAAAAGTACTTGATTAGAGTACTTAGCAGCAACTAAAACATCGGTGTGTTATCAGCATTATTCTCAGAGTAAATCCAAAACCACAGCACTGTACAAGCTGTGGGAAGAAAATTATCCCAGCTGGGATACCAGGATAGTATCCAGCCCTTATTCCATACTCGTCATGCCCAGGTTCCACACATTCCAATACACCACCACCTTTCCTGTCTTTTGATATAGGAACACAGATACTATTCCCTTAGTCTATAGGCCGTCCCTATAAAGCATCTGTTGAGTTCATTTAGTCCATGAATTGGGCTCCACCCGTCATAACAGTCTTTCAGGGCAGAAAGACGGCGTGTGGTTTGTTGCATGCTGAAGCCAATTCTGATTCCATCACTGCTACTCTGATCCAGTTTCATCAAAATGTATTCTTCACTAATCTGTTTGATTTTTACTGGAATACCCTTGATACAGCAGTCAAAATGGAGTTGGGTTCAGGTCCCTGAATCTGGAGTGCTGCAAAGTGTCCAGTGCAGTGATGTGCATATAACCACCACAGAAGTGATGATATTCAGTGTTATGTAGCAATTAACATCATACAATTTAATTCATTGGCTATTCTCACCCCAAAGTCAAGTCCCCTTGAGGTGTACATTAGAATTCCCTATCCTCCTGCAGAACCATACTGGTTCTGATAGCTCTGTGTCTAAGACAATTGTTAGTTTGATGGTGTAAAGCAGTCTTTACAGATTGCTTCACTCTGCAAACTAGGGAGGAAAAATGTAAGCAGCAGAAATCCAACATGGTGAAAATATGTGAAAATTAATTTCCCTTATGCTCTGGCCAAATGGTAGAAATAATATGACTGTTTGGGGCTCCCATGTTGTAAGGAATCATGAGATATCACTCTGAATGAGAAGTTTGTACTTTGTATCTAATTTGTGTGCAAGAATACTACAGTAAATAGATGAAGACATTCTTGAACTAAATTTTACAATAGAAAAGGACAAGCTTTGATGGCTTTTATGCTGTTCTAATTGTAGTGTGAATTCACTCACTAAAATGAGGAAATACTGTCTTAGGAAGCCATGCAATAAAAGTGACCAAATCTTAGCTGCTTTAATTTGAAAGCAATATCTGAACTGCATGTATTTCGTATTTTAAATAATTTAAGTGGCTTGTGTTTGTATCAGGTGAAATGGCATGAAAAAGGTCAGACTTTTGCCTCATATGCAGCTTGTCTACCCAGGGACAATCCAGGACAGTTGATCTGAATTTTCTGAATTTTTGGACTCAGCAGAGTAGTTAAACTACATTGAAAATTTGCGTAAATGCTTGCATTCAGAATTGCTGTGAATATAACTTGTTCAGAGTTCTTCATGTGAGACTCGATGTAACATATTACATTTTAAAAACATCATGAAAGAGGAAACAATTGATGGAGATACTATAATGTAGCTCTTTGAGTTGTTGGTTCATACCTCCAAAAGGAGAGGAGTAAGGGGTGGGGTGAATATGTAGTGCTGGATAGAAGTATTAACACAGAAAATTAATGCAGAATAGCCACTGCACATGTAACAGATATTCCATGCTAATTTTTCTATGACTTCCCAGCGCAGACAAGGCTCTAGTTATTTCGAATGAATTGTCATGGGTCCCAGTATGGACAAGCTCTTGCTGTATGGAGCTGAGGGAGCCACGAAATACTGGAAAACTGCCTTTTTTCTTTTTCTTTTTTTTTTCCCCTGCCTTTTTTTTTTTTTCTTTTCCCTTCTCTTTAAAGGCTCACTGGCTGAGATCACTCAAGGGGGACTGAACTACTTAATATTCTGCAAGCTGTTTCCTTAGAAACCAATTTAGCTGTGAAATCATTAACTGCCTCGGGCTGCATCCTTTCTAACTAGAAATATAGTCTAGTTACCTTAACCTGATATTGGGCAGGGAGACTTTCTGTGTCTGCCAACTTCTTTTCAGACACTTTTCATACCCCTCTTACTTTTGCTGTGTTTTATTGCTTATTGCTAAGCAATCTTGACCCTGATCTGTCCTTCCACTACTTCAGTTTTTCATTGATCAACCTCACTTGGAAAATCAACAGTTCTATTTCTTATCATCTATCTACTTTGTTTTAAATCTGTATTGCATACTGCTCTGTAAAGTGAAATCCTTGTAATATTCAGGAGCAAATCTTAAATCCTTGAAAAAGCTGAGTATTGAAGACCTCTTAGCTGCACTGCTACAGGCTTTTTCTTTCAAGTGTCCTGCTGCATTTCAGGTCTTCAGGCTGCAACGAGTTATGGTTTCCTTTCCTTGACTCTTTAATTGCAGCAGGAAAAAGTGTTAATTTCAAATATGTTTAGCATTAGTTGGTTTGGGGGAGCTACAATCATGCAGTTAAATTACGTCCTTAGGGCTAGTTTGCAATATGAAATATAAAATAATGTCAACATCTTTTATGTCATTGCAGGCAATTAGAAAAAATTGGAATTTACTCTCATGCAACTTTTTATACTGCAATCATTCATTACCCTGCATTCTCCTTTCTCCTCCAGGCCAGAAAACGATACCACTTCTTACCATGATAGGGATGAGAAGCTACAATCTCTGTCAAGTGATGATCCTTCCACTTGTGGGAGCACGTCCAGCATTTCTGACCTCTGCATTTCCCCTTCATGTAAGGATATTCTGTGAATGCTGCTGTTAACTATGGCTGTCTTTCTTGACTGGGACAGGTATTTGGGGCTTAGCTTATGAGTTGTAGATTTGTTGTTTTTTAAATGTAGCCTTGGCACTGGCCTTCCATTTGTTGACCCTGAGGCAGTCTGCAAGACCCTGGGGCACAGGGTTGGATTTTGGCTTGAGCTGAATAAATGGCTACAAAAGGTAATGTGTGGTCAACAGAGACCAATGGTCTCACTTGCCTTGCTCTATCTTGCTTTCTGCAGAAGTGCCAAGGATCATACCCAGGGCTTCCAATCTGCAAAGTATACTGTATCTCTGTGATGCCTTCTGCCTGGGTTAAGAGCTGCATCCCAGAGACTGCACTTCCCAACAGGCAAAGCCCCTTACTTGATCAAATATACCCTTGTTTGTATCTAAATGAATCACTGTCTGCTGGCACCTGCAGGCTCTGTTGGCTAGCCCTCTATATTAAAGTCGAAGGCAGCTGCAGTTATCTGCTTAGATTTGCAACTACATTCAAACCATAAAAGGTTGTGGAGGATGGGAGGCCCTGTCCTGTTTAGCTATGTTGTGAGTGATGCTGCTAAGGATTCTGTCCTTGCAACTTAAACTGAAATGAATACAAACTCAGCTGGACCTGAGGGCTCAGAAATATGATGAAATTTACAAGGTTATAGCCTTCTGAAATACTTCATTTCTGAACTTCTGATATCCACAGGATCATGGAACTATAGATGTGGGAGTTTCAGCCTTCTTGAAGGGATTCATTAACATTTCCAATTAGGGATTTAAGGCAAAATGTTCTGCAGTCTTAGATAAAGGATCTTGCAGTATATCCGGTACAGAATTATTAATAAGTTCAGACAAAACATGCCTTTACTTTGCTGAAAAATATGCTTTGAAGCAGTGAAGGAATAGCATACTTTTCACTCTCTCTTCTATTTTTTTAAATTTCCTAGAGGAAATGAAAAGGATTCTGAGAAAAGTAACCAAGGTCTTACAGGCAGGAATTTGCTTGCATAATGCCTAGAGCTGATAAATATAACATGCTGAATGAAAGTCGTATGATAGGAGCAGATGAACCTCTTGTTCAAGATGGGCACTTGGCTTCTCGCTGTTGTGTAGGAATGAGAGCTGCTGTCCTCTCCTCAAGCCTCGCTTTGCACAGTAGCACCTTGAGTATAGCTGAGCCCATTCTATGGGGAGGTTAACTGGCCAGGGGCAGCAACTTGGAACAGGAGAGGTTGTAAACTAATCAAAAGCATGCTGACCTGATGGTTTTCCTATATAGAAGGGGAGGAAAAAAACCCAGTGTGTTATTGTTTTCAGTCAAAATGATGTGCAGATAGGTACTCATCAGAGTACTAGATTGTGCTCTTCTCTTGTAGGAAAAAAAAAAAAAAAGAATATATATCCAGCATATTGCAAGTTTATATATATACATGTAAAAAGACAAATAATTTGTGAGTATGGCAGAGACAATTCTTCCTAGCACTAATCTAGGCTATAAAACAACACTGAGCTACTTGAAGGATTGCCATAGGTTTGTTTCAGGTTTTTGCAAGTAGCCAGTGAAATACATGCTTATCTTTCTTACCTTTTGGGATTTAGAAATGAGGAGTAGGAGAAGAGAAGAGAAGAGAAAAGAGAGACTGCACTTCTGGATCCCTGGTTGTTCATGTCAGTGACAGTGCTTTCATTCTGTGTAATGATAATTGGAATGGATCTTTGGACATCCCCTGTTTTCCAACAGGTGGTGGGTTTTGTAATTTTTAACTTGAAAAGGCTTTAATTTAAGACAATTGAAAATAAGCCCTTTCTCTTCTACTGCCTTCTAAGATATGGCAGGGAACAGAACATAACAAAAAGGTGTAAAAATAATTGTATCGCTTCAAAAGGCTGTCACCATGCCCTGCCAAATATATTTGCTGTGCAATAAATATGCAGTTTATTGAGTTCTTATCTTAGTCTGATGGTGATTATGCAGTACCAAGAACCTGCTCACTTCAGAATATGTGTTTTCCAGTATCATATGAATACTTTCGGATTCAGAGTTTCATGCAGTTGTGAAATGAATAGTAAGAGACCAAGAGTGAAAAAACAGAATGAAAGCTCTGTGTGAACAGTTGGTATCATCAAGGTCATATCTCAAGGAAGCTAAGTTTAGCCTCAAGAAACCTTGGTCCTCTTTTGTTTTGTAAAAGTGAGAGCAGTTCTTAATGTCCTCCATGCCAGATATATTCAGATGTTCTTGAATCATTCTGATTTTGTCTGGGTCCACTTCCCTTTTTATCACTTTCATGATAAACTTATGGTGATATCACTTTTGGCTCTTTCTATTTTGTCTCCTGTGAGCAGAAAACTTGTGGACTAAAGATGAACCCTGGTCATCTTACTACACTCACTATGCTGAATATCAAACAGAACACACACTGGGCAGCCAAATGCCTGTCTGAAAGTGACCTGATTTGTATCCATATCAGCATGTGAGACCAAATAGGATGGCAACCTGTCCTGCGCATGGGAGGAATGGAGCTAGGAGTTTTCCCTAAACTCTTACTGAACTTGCACATCTTGGTAGGCTTTCATCTCTCAGCAGACTGACTGTCCTTCCCTTCTCCATTAGTGCAAGGCAGAAAGTGAGGTATCTTGAACAAATGTAATAGATCTAAAGTCTGACAGAAGTGTAAACCACTGGGTTTTATTCACAGTGCCTACCTATCCTGCTATGGATATGTACAGACAACTGCAAGTGGTTACATTCCTGTGGCTTTAGTGATGTCATTAGCTGATATACCTTAACTGATGGACTGCATGCTACCAGCCTGTGTGAATGCTTTGAAAATGGTCCAAGTGTGTTCTACTTTCAAACTGCGAAGGGCTGGAGCTGTGCACACTTGCAGTTGGCTTGGCTCAGCTCATGAGCTGTAATGCACTCTGCCATGCTAATGCAGTAGCCTGCTCTTATATAGCAGGAACTGTGATTTCACTGTGTCTTTAGTAAAATTGTAAAGAGACCACTCCTCACTGAACTGTGGTTTGTTGTTGTGTTTTTTTTGTTTGGTTGGGTTTTTTTAATAGCAGTTGAAATGAAGTCATCTGGAGAATTCTCTTCAGGCCATAGAGTGGACCGAAGCATCTCAGCTGGTGACAGTATCTTATCTTCCCGATCTACTGACTTCACTCAGGATGAAGTAAAAGGGCAATCACATAGGTATGATTTATCCAGAGGAGTGTCTAAAAGTGCAAGAGGAGTCTGAGAGGCTTTACCAGCTAATTCTGTGCTGCTGTAAAGATAATCTGTGAAGTCATTTGATGTATGATGTAGTCTGGTCTGAGACAGCTGTGATGGTGCTTGCCAAACAAAATACCCTTAGTTGTGCCAGAGGCAGCTGTTCAATTCCTAAGCATCTGGTCGAGAATGGGAGAAATTTCAAGCAAGACATTATTAATGAACTTCACATGTATGCACAACGCAGTCTTCTGCAAATAAAATTTCCTGATTGCTTCCTTAGATGGCTCGACTCTAACCCATGAAAAATTATTTGTTAGTAAAGAAATAGGTAGGACTGTGGGAACAGGGCAGGAATTAACTTGCTGAAGGTAGAAAAATTCAGCATTTAAGTAGGTTCAGAGGGTTTAAACATGCTGAGTTACTAGCATGGCTGACCGGAGTCCCCAGTTTATCCTCTAGACAGGTATGGCAAGGGAGACAATATTATGAGTTCTCTCAGCAATGGGTTTTAACTCTTCTTTGAAACAGTTTCTGTCAAAGATGAAAGATCCTTCCTCTCCTTCTCCTGTTCATACCTTGAGCCCTCTGTGAAGCCTCTGTCATATGTAGGACAGTGATGTTATATCTTGGATGGGAACTAGGAATTCATTAGCAATTGGACCAGAGGTTTACCAAACTTTTTCAGGGGCTGCATGTGTCCTTCAGACATTAACAGCTTTTTCCTATAGATAATTTGATTGGGCCAAGTTTTAAACAGTGAGTGTAGAGAAATTATAAAAGCAAGTACATTCCAGAAGTAAAACACACGGAATGGGTGGCGATGTGTTAAAGGAAAGGTTTTACCAATTCTTCATGGATTTAATTTTTCAAAATTATTAGTTATTTGTGTCTAGCACTTCTGAAAATTGGACTCTCCGCTTAGAGTTTTGTTTCCTTTGGGCCTACGGATGCCTGGATGTGGTTTTTGGGTGTTTTAGTTCTTGGGGGGTTGGTGTGGTTTTGGGATAGGTTTTGTGGGGTTTTGTTTTGTTTTGTTTTGTTGTTGTTGTTGTTGTTTGTTTGGTGCCTTTTTTTTGTGGGTTTTTTCTTTTTTGTTGTTTTACCTCCAGTTGTGCTGTTTCCACATGGTGACGTCTGAGAATGCTGGAATGCTTAAGTAGTCATGGCCCTGTCTCAGCATTACTGGTTTTGTTTCTGTTGCCTGTCCTAACAGTAGCCAAGCACATATTACAAATGAGAATTTTATGGTCAAATTGCTTGCTTTGTGATGGAGAGATAATTTTTCAGGCTGTGGCTTGCAAGAAGCAAGCCAAATCGGCAGCGTCTTGCCTCACACCTTGGTGAGAGGCTTTGCTTCTATACAGTCATAATCTATTATCGAAAAAATGTCACCCATAATCTTTAATTTGTCTTCATAAATGTATGTCTAAATCTCAGTCATAGATGGATCTCTAACTGAAGAAACAGGTGCAGTATCCTGCAGGAGAAGATAGTATCTTTTGATTGCGTGCTTCCTTAGCATGCATACAGTAATTTGTATTTACAAATTCAGCCTCAAGTTACGGATATGGGAATGTAGCCATTCACAGTCCAAGTGAGCACAAGGGTTCCTGTGTCAAGGTCTTTTGTTAATATGTTGGTGTTGTAATAGCTGGACCTGCCTTTTCATTCTTTCATTCATGGAAGCATACTTTAATTTGTTTGCAAAACAAACATAACAAATATATCACTGCTTTGGTCATAGTTTTGACTGTTGTAAGAGATGTGACCTTCCTACTAGGAAAATACCAAGACCTTCCTAGAAGAAGTATGTATGAGAAAAGGAGGGATGAATTGTGTCCACTGCTATACCCCCTCTTCCTTAGCAGTATAAACTGGGAATTTAACACAATTTAACAGAGATCAGAGAAATTATGCTAAGTCAGTCTGAGAGAAGAATGAAACCCTAGTAGTGGCATGTCTATTGTGGTTCTTTATTTCCACAGGCACAAACGATTGTTCTAGCTGATATATGTCAGACTGGCACCTGCCCCTGAATTGCTATTCCCTGCTGCATTTTAATCATGTAGGAATATAGATCTGTTGTGCTTTTTGCTAATCAAGCCTAAATTTGTAATAGACTTGAGTTTACAATTGTGGCTGGCTGAAAAAGCTATTATCTTTTTATTTTGACATAAAGGGCTTAAAATTTACAAGGCCTTCTTACATCTGTAATGGTCTTGCTCTTCTGATAATCTGTTAAAAATTGCCCAAAGTCCAAATGTATTTCTATTGGAGAAAATGGTCTAAGACATCTTTGTATCTTCAAGTCCTGTCATATCTCCTGGTTGAATATTCCCAGTTGTCAGTCTGTCATGCATGTTTTTTACACAGTTATTTCAATTTTTGCAAGTAAACAGTTTTCTTTCTTCTCAATGCAAATGTGGGTTTCTGTGTGAGTTTGTTGGAGGTTGGGGTTTTTTTGTTTGGTTGCTTGTTTTGGGTTTGGGTTTTTTTTGTTTGTTTGAGCACTTGTTCTCAAATTACCACACCTTGTTGTAAATGACTCCTTTATGAAAGACTGTGGAACATTTTCCCACAGTTAGATTTTGCTGCTTCTTACTTCATCTGATCTATTTCTGAAGGATGGGAAATAGCAGTTTTTTGTGTTATTCTGAGGATTAATCTTGGCCTATTTATTGGTGCAGTAAAAGATGAGGTGTTTCTCTGACACCTGGGCACATCAAGACCAAGATCTGCTCTGCATCCTGCCACAACACCAGCAGTTCTGTTTTGGTTTGGGTTCTTTTTCTTTTTCAGTTTTATGGTGTTTGCTACCAGCTTATTTTATATAATCCTTTCCTGAAGAGTTTGCAAACATGTGAGCCATCTGTGTGACCATTGTGTATCTCTTTGGTATAGTGACTCTGGTTGCATTACTTCGTCTCTGGAGTGCTTACAGTCCAGCTGCCTAGGTTACTACAGTGGAACTCTGTGAAGATTACTGATGGCTATAAAAACACTTTTTAATGTATGGGAATACAGATCCAGACTTTTGTTACCAATTGATGAATAAAGAGGAAAAAAAAGCTCATTTATTGCTCAAGAACTGTGGTGAAGCTTTTGGATCTTCCTTTTTTATCTATGTTAGTGTATTATAGTACCTATATGATTACCATGAAAAGCACAAGTGAATTGAAAACCAGCTCTTGAACTAAGTGATTAAAATGACAAAAAAGCAGTAACAGTGAGACTATTTTATGGTGAGAGATATTTAAGTATGTCTGTGGCCCACGGCTTGGGGTTTTATCTAGCCGATCTTAGGTTTTGTTTTGCTAGTACCTCCTCCTTTGAAATGAGACAGGTGTAATACTCAGAGACGGGTGGAGGGCTGCAGAGATGGCTCATAGCAGACCAGTTAGCATGTGTCTGTTCTTAATAGTTAGCATATACAAATGTAAAATAAGAAAATTCATTTCATTTAAAATACAAAAGAAACACTTGCTCAGATCTCCCTGCAAGGTGAAGCAGGGGTATGGAAGGGCTAATCAGCACTGACTCAGCAGCATTCCCAGGGGAGGAGGGAAGATTAAATGTCTTGAAAATCCTCCTAATCACCCTTTCTGGTGGTCACAAAGGGTTCTTTTGATGGAGTTAATAACACAGGGACTTTCCATTTTAATCTCTTGTCTTTAGGTGGCATCTTTTTCGATCTCCTACCTTTGGGTCTTCTATTTTCTTTTTACATATGGTGAGCTTTTTTCATGTAGCTGTTATTTCAGTTTAACCTTTTCTCCTTTTGAGAGAAAATTGACTCACTAGAGCAAACATGAGTATAGATTCTGAATTACTTTGGAGACTTGCTGTTTCCTGGTAGCCTCAATTCTTGTACCTGGGAAAGAATATTGATGCTGGGGGCAGGGAAGGACAAAGTATCTTCACACAGTCATGGACTACGTTTGAAAGAATGGTATTGCCGCACATGCAGACACTGAAATAACAGCAGCTGGTTTACGTTCTCAGTGTGAACAAGGCACCTGTGTGCTTAGGGAATTTATTTCATAGATGCCATCACAGCTTTTTGCTCTTTTGACAAAGCCTTCAGGGTGTTCCACAAATCTTACCGCAGCTGGGAGCCAGGGAGGCTGCCTGTCTCTGCCAAGATTGTGACCTATACCTGGGAGAAATAATAGTGTCAGTGCCCTAAAAGGATGTATTCCTGTGCTGTAGCATACCTGTTTGCACCTCAGATTGAGTCTCTGTGTGTGATAAATACAGTGGAAAACAAGCTAAAGATCTATTGCTTGTTTGCAAGGGACTTAACTGAACCTGTTCAATCCTGTTGGCCAAAGAACCAGGTTTGAGTAGGATAGGTGAATAGAGCCAAGTTTAAAGGCAGCTCAGTGAATACATGCCCCAGGGCAGTACCTGTAGTGCCACTGTTTCTTTCCATTTGCAGTCTCCCTGAATTTCGAGCAGTCTGTCATGTTGTCACTGCACGTACTGCAGGTTTCACTTGGTTGCAGACTTACTATACATACATAACTCTACACGCATTGCTAACCCTTTCCATCTCCTCCTACAGCAAGTTTCCCTCAGCCTTCACCAGCAAACCTAAGATTCCTCGCACTCCCGAAGTGCAGAGTGCCAGCCCTAGAAAGGGAAAGGTCCCAGCTATTGCTCCCCAGTTCTCTCAGTCTGGACCCCAACAAACAAGCCGTCTCAGCTCCTCAGGATCATCCAGAAGGAGCAGACAGAGTAAGTGGAAAAAGTCATCGTTCTATTTGTCAGACCTTGGGTGTGAATGGAGGGAGCACTGTAGTAGTTCTCCAAGAATGAAGTTGTATGCTACAAATGTGCCAGCTGGCTGTGTCAGGAGTGGCTTCTCCATGCAGTTTAGGCTAAACTTAGGTTCTGAACATTCAATCAGTTAATTCCTCGAGTTGATAGCTCCAGGCTGTTGCGTGAGCAGTTAAGAGACATGCTTTTTCCTGTCTCTGGGTGGAGAAAAGTGGCCCAAATTCTATGATTCTGTGATTCTATGAATTCTCAGAAGTTTGGGTGGAAGCTTCTAGTCTCAGGCTTTCTCTAGATTTCATTAGACCTTTTCCTTATCTTTAGGCACATGTTTGCTCCACTCTTGTAAAATGTTCAATGTTCTTCAGTGTGTCTGCACTGCAACTGAATGTAGACCAGATGTCAGGCAGTTCAGAAGATGGGCTCAGGGCAGCCTAGTGAGCAGACAGCCAAAACATGGTGTGCTGCTTGTGACAGTCTGCTGGAGACTTGTATTTAAGAACCCTATGGATGTGTCATTGCCCAAAGAGGTTTAAGCAGTACTAGCTTGCAGTGGGCTCAGAAGAGGGCTGTGACTTGAGGTTGGGTGGAAAGGATGGACGCTTGCTTTAAGCCAACCAACACAAGCCCAAGAAAGCAGAACTGTTGATCTCAGATGCTCTTAACAACAGTAAACAAGTGTATGGTGTGTAAGCTGGGGGAAGGTTGGGGAGAGGGGGGAAGAAAGATGCATTCTTCAGTAATTAGCATGATTTTTCCCTGGAGTGTGGATAGGACTAACTGGATTCAAATAACACCTCTGGGTGTATTTCATCAGTGAAAATGGCAGGACCTATGTGCTGTATATTCTTATTCCAAACATATTGTAAGAGATTTAGTGATGATTTTTTGATCATAATGTAACATCAGCTCTATTCTTTAGATGTAACTTATCTTCAAACATTTCACGAACACATGGTAACTCGTAGTACTTTGCAAACCTTTGCAAGAAATTTGAGGTATATGTATATCCTTAGCTCCTCATTACAGGTAGGGAAAATGAAACACAGAGAATTTAAATAACTTAGTAAAACAGCAATAGAACTGGAAAGAGCTTCCTAAGACTTCTGTGTTGTTCACTGATTGCCGTTCCACACAGTTGCATGTGTAAGGAGATGGGGTGGTGTACATTCTGTGCATCCTAAAGCTGAATGTATAGCAGGCATCACATCTTACTATGTGTCCATGTAGCTTTTCTCCTGAGTTTCCTATTGGGGTTCCAGGTAATTGTTTACTATCTGCCCACAGGTGCCATGAGACAGACTTGGTGTCAGCAATTGAATGTCAAACTCTTATCTTCCAATTAAAAATACCAAAGAAATTATTTTGCAAAAAAGTCATGTTCCATTCACCCTATCTGTATGTGTCTTGCATTGCTCTCTGCTGTTGCAGAGCACCTGTTAGTTACTGTACATCTTGTGCAGGCTTTCACAGGCTTTTTATCATTGGGAAAAGTGAGAGGAAGGTGATATGGACCAGATTTCAAAGGACTAAAAAGGGCTTTAAGCACTTATGTCCAAACTTGAGGTTCTCAAAGGTAATTCCCAGCTGTTACTTAAAGATGCAGAGAAGTCATCTGAAGCAGGTGAGCCCCTAAAGTTTCCCTAGTAAAGCTCTGTGCAACTTTTCCTTTAATTTCCCAGCTGACTCTTCTGTAAGTCAAAATGATATCTGATACATAGATATCAGCAATCAGTAGATTTCAGCAGTTGCTGCTTCCCATTTGCCTGCTGCATAGGTATGTAGGGTTTTACATATCAAGAGACTCTGTCCTAGTGGAAGCTTGTCTTTAGTTTGTGGATTTCTTGGTATTTCTGGAGAAATGCCAAGTTTTTATAGTTGATGGGCATGATGAGAAAAAGATTATTTTCTGATTGTACATACTTGATGTGCTCACTTACCCTAGAGACACATTTTTAGCTTGCTTTTAATGTTTATTATAGGTGTATTTTCTGGAAATAAGTTGGTTTTACATAAACCCAGCTGGACTGTTCCTCTTGGCACTTGGAGTGTGTGGAATGCCTGAGGAATGCAGAGGAAGCACAGGTACAAGTGCAGCTACAGTCCTGAGGCGAGATTCCTGCCTGAGATGTAGCCTGCAGCTGTTAGCTGAGCTCTAAAGTTGTACATTAAAGCAAAACCAAGCTCCTCCAAATAAAATCAGCCATGCTGGGGTTTTCTGCAGATTCCACTTCCTAGCTGGTGCAGGGATGATGCTAGCAGCATGGCTACAACATTTAGACGTTTTCAACTGTGCTTATGTGCTCCATGTGGATGTAGTTGAATGGTTTAATCTACTCTGTTCCTTACCCTGCATTGGTTCCAAGCAACTCTGTGTGGGCAACTGCTGAAGGAGTTTGCAGTGTACCATATTCTGTCTAGAGGACAGTGGAGCCATATTAGTACATAAATCTCTACCAGAAGAATGAGGAACAATTTTTATCAGGTGTGTCACTGTGCCCTGATAACCAACCCCCTGTTCCTTCACAGGTTCTTTCAGCATCCCCTGACAAGTGGTTGCCGTAAACACATTCTGCATTTTTAAGTTGCAACATCAGTGGTTAAGGTGCCTTTCTGCATGTTCTTTGTGGTGTTTGTGTCACTGTACAGGTTGAATAAGTGTTGCCGTCAAGCAGCTCCTGTCTTGTAATAAACACTGCTTTCAGCTGACAGACCCTTTCTTGCTGTTTTTCTGCAGGCAGCCAGTCCTACAGGAAGTGAGAACAGTTCCTTTCCTTAAGAATCACCTGTCACATTGTTGAAGGACAGAGCCAGCTTTCTGTAATGAGCTTTACTGGCGACCTACCGAGAGTGGGGTTATTGACATTGCATGGTGTATGCCTTGCACAGTGATTCAGGGATTATCTGATGGGATGCATCTGTTGTCATCTCTAAAGCTGGCTAAGACAAGGGCCTTGTTATTACAATTCAAGGTCTTGGCAGCAGCCCAGGACTGCTATGGGAGATGCCTATAGTCCCTGTATCTCTGATAGTTTACTCTAAAGTGACATTGCCACCTTGAGAAGAAACTCTTGCTCTCTGCCTTGTGTGTCAGAGTAAATGGCCTTTGGAGACGGTATGTAATGCTCAGCATAGGAGAGTGTCCAAGCAACTGTCTTTTTTACATACTGCTCATTGAACTTACTATGCCTTTCTGAATTAGTTGGGAGATACCTGTGTTCAAAGGATCTGAACTAGGAGGGAAAATGTATGCCATGTGTGCAGAGCCTCACTGCCTGAAGCAGTCTTGTGTGGAGCGAGTTCTGTGTTTGGCCACCAGAGACTGGAGAGAAAGTATTTCATCAACTTCTGATTGACCTGTGGCAGTTGAAAAAAACTGTGCCAGTGCCCAAGGCAGCATCCATGCTCACCACCATGATCAGCAGCTATATCTGCAACAATCACTCCTACTGTTTCTTCCTATGTTTTTTTCTTAATTCTACTGTTAAACTTTTGTGGAATGAATAATCCTTTTTTTTTGTCTGCTGGAATGAAGAACTTTGTTTTTCATTAAAAGAAACCATGAGACTGTGAACACGAGACGTAACTTTCTTTTTACGTGTGGCTGTGGACAATCTTTTTTGGTCTTTGTTACCTTTTTTATATTCTTCACTTCTGAGTGATAACTGGTTATGACTTTATGGAATTTGTGCTAGTCTTCAGTGAATATGAAGTGCTGGCTAGACAAGAGAGATCAGAAAGCCCTCTACTAAATAATAAAAAAAAAGAGCAGTTAGTTCCACCAGTGGATTACAAAGCTAGTGCTGTTTGTTGTTCTTTCTCTCAAAAGTAACAGTGACCAGGAAACACTAAATTCTTCACTGGGGGTTGGCTTTTCAGTAAAATCCCCTCATGTGACACAGCTGTTACAACAACAGCAACAACTTTTCCAGAACTGTAGTTTGCCTTGGAACTTGGCTGCTGCTGAGGTAGACATGCACATAACGCAGGCAGTGAATTTGCCATAGGCAGACTTCAAAAGCAAATGCTTTATCAGGTACGAAAAGGGAAAAGGTAAGGCTTTTGTTTTGGAGTTTCACCTTGAGAAACAAACAAGGGGAACACAGCCTGAAAGATATAGCAACTCCAGTAGTGACACTGCCTTCCCCTAAAGTCATGTAAAGCCACCAACCATGTCCATAGGACCAGAAGAAAGCTTTATGCTTCTGATGAGACCTTGAATTGTGCCTCTTGGTATGTGGTGGCAACTGAAGAGACAAGGCCATTTACTTGTGTGATGTGATTGCCATGAGACTCACCAGGATCACTGATGCTTTGTCAGATGTTTGCAGAAAGGGTTTCCACCTGCAAGTTCAGGTAACCCCTTTGGATAATAATAGACTTTAAACTGGAATCAAGATATTCTGTAGGAGAAGACATCCTCCAGTTTAAAATCTAGTCTTATTCATGTGGCAGGGACAATTTGCTGCTCAGTAACTTCAGGGTCCTTGTCATGGTTCAAGCCCAGCCACAGGGCTGGCAGTATTGCAGTATTGCTTTAACTCCCAAGCTACATAGGACATAAAGTGATTATAGACACTTGATCCCCCCGATCGTATAGATCTCCATGCACAACAAAGAAATCACAGAAAATCACTGACTTGTGCTTCAATTCATCCACTTCCTCTCAGAGTTGATAAACACAATTAATGGAAAAATGGTTCACAAAAGGTCAATAATGGAAAACAGCCATTAAAACTCACCTGGTGGTTTTCCAGGGTAGGCAACTTTTCTTTTTCCTCTGAAATGCTGTCTTTTTTCCAACATTGTAATAGCAGTGGTCAAGTTGTTAACACTGACATGCTAAGCACATTTGTTTGCATACGCAGATAACACATAATGCTCCAGTAGTTGAGTTTTATTTATTTTACAGCAATGCTGAGTTTTGTGTTGGAGCAAATGTGATTGATTGAGATGCAGAGCAGCAGCTCTTGAAAAGTGTTGATTGCAGACTAATTTTCTTTATTTGGAGGGACACAACAACCTCACTGGCTTTACCATTAGTTGAGATCTAAATCGCATCACTCCTTCCAAGTCAGCTGAAGGTGGTTAGTTGGTATGGCTACAACTGTTCCAGCAGATAAAGATTCATGAAAAACAAAATGCATCTTGTAGAACTACACTGTAAGGAACAAGCTGAAGTTTATGTACTTGTGTGTTTGTTTCTTACTCAGGCCTATTGCAGTGCAGAAATTTATATGTACATTTTTCCATATTCTACTCCTAGATATTTTGGAGTGTGAGTATAGAGTTTGAAAACAGAGACTATTTTTTTATAGTAATGCTTGAGAAACTTGCTTTTGCAAACACAGGGAAAAACTACGGATATGCATAGAAATAAATTCTCAGCTGAGCAGTAATTTGAGAGGACAGCAAAGTAATGTGTCCTCCTTTTCTCTGTCTTGTTCACAAAAAGCCCCTGTGATGCCAGCTGGAAGATTTTGAAGCGAATGAAAAATGTTGATTCTGCCTTTCTTAGTAGGGCTCCAGTATTCAGGGTTGAAAGGTCCCTGGATGTAGGTCAGTAACACACACATAGCAAATTCTGCACCTCACTCTTAGAAGTTGTTAGGGGTGTTTTTGTATATACCATGTAGAGGCTGCTGCTAGATACACCACCCCCCTGGTAATTCATAACAGGAGCAGTGGAAATTGCCTGCCTGAATGAGAAGGGAGTGATTGTGCTTGAAGTGGTTGAGATTTTGTTTACAATGAGCAAATATGGTTATTGCATATAACACAGCTGTGTGGTGCTAGCATGCCTTTTGGATATAACTTTTCTATATTCAGTGTAATTTTGCTTATGCACAGTGTTGTATGAGACACAAAATGCATAAATCTATTTAATTTTGCGTGGAGGGCTCAATCTGTACAAGTGCTTTAAAATCATCTGGCAATGACTGAGTGAAAATGCTTCTAAAGGGATATTTTTTTTTATTTCTTCTTTCTCTTTTTGATAGGTTAGTTTGGGGTTTTGTGAACTTTCAGGGTGTGCATTTGTTTACGTTTCACTCCGGTTTATTGTTAATAAATTCTATCCCCAACAGTTTTGTCTCTACCTGAGTTGAAAACACAGCTCCCCGCTGTTCAGCCTGGCCTGCCTCTACAGAGGTAGTGTGTTTACTCAGTTGCAAAGCAGGCATGAACCACTCATTGTTTGTGGTCTCTCATGAGGAGAGCCCAGGCAAGTAGGATGCCACCAGTGACACTGGTTTGGTGTCAGAAGTATTTGTTGGAGGATTTAAGTGTGTAGAGGAAGACAACCAAGGAAGTGCTCTGGAGGAAAAACATTTCTGTGATGTGGAGGGACAGCGGTTCCTTGGTTTGGTTTTGAGTTGTTTCCTTTAAACAAAGTTCCACTACTCTTTATAAAACATGGTGGAGGTTATAGTGTAGAGATAAGAAGTGATGCATTGCATTCATGCACATCTTTGAGTAGTGGTAGCAGAAAAGCAAACAGGCTAGCTTCCTCCCAGGTAATTACCTGTATCAAGACTTACCTTTTAGCTTTGGGCTTGAATTCATCTTTGAGCCACAACTTCCTGGCAGTTTGGACCACCCTCACACTTGCTGGCAGTCTGTCAGTAATGGAACAAGTTCTTTCCCAAGAGACAAAATGTTGGAGAGCTGGGACGTACACCTTTCTCAGTGAGTGTAATCTAAATGAGGAGCAGGTGAGCCCTGTGGGCCCACTAAGCACAAGTAGGTGTGTGGGCATGGCTGACATAGAGGATGTAGAGGTAGCCTTACCAACCTCCACTGGTGGCGACCAAGTACCAAAATACCTCTGCAACTAAGCCATGTGGGCTTCTCCAGGCTATGCTGCACTTTCCTAACCTCTGCTATTCATATGAATTATAAAAGAAGTGGGGCTTTGGATAATTTATTGGTGGGTAAGAAACAGCAAGATGTTTCAAGGCAAACAAAACAGCCTTTAAGACCAGACTGGTCTGGCCAAGCTGCATGGGAATCTGCTGCTAATTAATAGATTTTAAAAAGAAGCCAGAAGTTCTGGGTGCAGAACGTAGAACATTGTCATACTACATTATCAGAACAGTAATTCTTTTAGCCTGGCACCTTGTTAGTGATTGGGCTCTGATGTTTCAAAGCAAGTTTATTCCCAGCTCCAGGCTGCTTTCTGCCCTGCAGTGGAAGGGCATTCTATTCAGTTACAGGATCATGATCCAAATTTCCACTCCCTAAGGATCTGATGCTTTCCAAAAAAATGAGTGGCACACCCTGTGGCATCTAACAACTTTCTGGAGCATGGCCTTTTTTTTCAAGTTCTCTCCGCAGTCCTTGGTATATGGTCTATTTCCAAGAAACTAAGGTAGTAGTTTACTGCAGTGAAAGTGAAAACACTTCACACGAACAGTAAGAAATCCAGGTGACAGCTTTAAGTTTGTTTTGTGCTTATCTTCTTCAAATATGGAAAATGCTGCTCTGATATGATATGAAGTCCACAGATTTCAGGAGTGTCAGTTACTTTGTTCACTCTGAGTGTGAGTAGCCTAGCACTATATTTAATTTAAAAAATAGTTTCCAGTATGCCTTGCTGGTTTTCATCTTGAAAGTCTTTAAAGTGCTACTTTATTTTGTTTATTTTTCTTTTAATGATGCTGAGAGCTAATTCTGCTGCATTAAAGAATAAAAAGGACAAATAAAACTCAGTGTATACCTTTAACATTAAGGTTTATTCTGCAGATGTTTAAGATGGCCTA